AGCTCGTGCCGCGCCCGTTCACGACCCGACGCGGGGAATGCCTTCCCACGCGTGCCGGGCTGGAAGCGCTGCCCGCAGATCCTTCTCCCATGGAGCTCAAGTAAGAGCAGCCAGGTGCGAATATTTCGCAAGCTTCCAGCCCAGCCGGGAACCGGAGAGCCGTCAAGAGAAAGACGGTGAAAACGCACCCGAGGGATGTTTTGTGCCCGCTCTGACTCCATGGCTGGGTGCTCTTCTAAAAGAACGGCTCTGGGGACACCCTGCCGCTGCTCTCAACGCGGATGAAATTAGAGGATAAAGAAAATGCAGGAGAAAAACGGTTGGGATTTATCGCTCCTTCTACCCGTAACCTCTGAACTTCTTCACGCAATTCCTCAGCACCAGGCGTGGGCTTGCCGAGCCACGCTCTGCCTCCTGGAGGTAGAATACTTGCCGTAACCGTTGGTGGGTTTGACTTTATACACCATGTTCACCCTCGGGCAAGGCAGCCGCCTTCCCAGGAGGAATATTCCTTGGAATAAGGCAAAAAACCAAGAGCAGAATATCATGAGGTTGCTCTAATCAAAAAAGACAGACCCCGGCGCTGTGGTCTAGACCTTCAATACCCGGGGAGCGAACAATGGCTCGTTCTTGCGTGCACACTCTTCCTTTTCACTGATGGAACTACGAGCCTTGGTCCCACGGGTCTTTGCTTCGTGACAGCCAGAAAGGCAGCAAAGCCGAGGAGCCGACGGCCGCTTGCTCGTCTTCGACGTGGAGACACGGGGGTTTGTTGGACAAGTCTTGTCTCACGCTGGGAACGGTTCCTGCGATTGAGTTTTCTGCATTTGATGTCAGGCTTTGAACTTGGCTGGTTCCCGTGGGGCACGCCGCGATCGTTAACTCCTTTAGAGCGGTTTTGAGGCCGACGTCTCGTTAGCGCCGGGGCAGCCCTTTCCACGCTCACACTGAAAACCCGAGCCCGTTCCTCCCAGCTCACGTTATACAAGTCACACACGGGCAGCCCTGAGCACAACACACCTACCAAAACCGGAGCAGGCAGCGCGGTTAACCACTCGCCGTCCCAACGGGGGTGACTCCTTGCCCACGCAAGCAGGTCAACCTCTTGCCCGCTTTCCCGACGCCCACACCGCTCTGCCGGCACCCGCACTGCCAGGTCCTGGCCCTGGAAAACCTTTTCCTCCACCCAGACCTGGTGGAGAGTCGCCCTAGGGTTTGTCCCTGTGGGATTCCTCCTCGCTCCCTCGCCCACGCTCCTGCCGATGACCCGAGATGATAAAAGCAGGCAGAGAAAAGGCTGTGACATTGGCTTCGCTCCCGTCGCTGAGGTCCCCGCTCAGCTGCGCCAAGCCGCAACTCCTAAACGGG